TGTGTTGTGTGTGTTGTGTGATGTCAGAGTGTGTTGTGGGGGTGTTGTGTTTAGTTGTGTGTCGTGTGTGATGTGTCGTGTCAGAGCGTGTTGTGAGTGTGTGTTGTGGGGGTGTTTGTGTCGAGTTGTGTGTTGTGTCATGTCAGAGCGTGTTGTGGGTGCTTGTGTCGAGTTGTGTGTTGTGTGTGTTACGTGATGTCAGAGCGTGTTGTGGGTGCTTGTGTCGAGTTGTGGGTTGTGTGTGTTGTGTGATGTCAGAGGGTGTTGTGGGTGTTTGTGTCGAGTTGTGTGTTGTGTCGTGCACATGTGTTCACGCTTAGTGTGTGCTGTGCTGCACACATAGGTTGTGTTGCAGACGTGTTGTGTGCAAATGTGTCGTGCACGTGTGTTCACGCCTCATGAGTTGTGTTGCGTGTTGCACACGTGTGCGCCCCTCGTGTGTGTTATGTTGCGCACGTGTGTTGTGTGTTGCGCCGACGTTGTGTGTGTTTAGTGTTGTGTTGCACGCGTGGGTTGTTGCACACGTGTTGCGTGGTGTGCAAATGTGTGTCATGCACACGTGTTCATGCCTAGCGAGTGTTGCGTTGCACACGTGTTGTGTGTTGCGCACATGTGCGCACCTCGTGTGTGTTCAGTGTTGTGTCGCATGCGTGTTGCATGTTGCGCCCATGTTGTGTGCACACTTCATGTGTGTCGTGGCATGTTGCATGCGTGTGTCGTTACACACGTGTGTTGCACAGTAGCGTGTTGCGTGCACGTGTGTTGTGCTGTCCACACAAGCGTGTTGTGCCCGCCCCGAGTGTGCCGTGTGCACGTGCGTCGCGTGCCTGCGTGTCCTTCGCAAGCGTGTTGCGTGTGCGCGTTGCGTGTTTGTGCTCGTTTCCCCATGCAGAACCACTTTCTCCTTAGGGAAAAAAATTCCTATTTAGGGAAAAAAAATTACCCAATTTGTGGGGTTTTCGGTGATTTCTTTTTTCCTATAAAATTTGAATTTTTCCCCCAAATTAATCACTTGGGCTCTTGGCAGAATCCTGACCTCACGTTCCTGTAGGAAAATGCCCATAAATGGGAAAAAAAATCTGAGATTTTCAGAAATAAAATGAGCGCTGAGCATTTTGAAATCTTTTTTTGGTATTTTTTGCAAAAAAAGGTGAGAAAATCATAAAAGGGTGACATCACACAGTGCTGGAAATCACTAACTCATGCGCACAGTCCAAAAAAACCATGCCTGCTGGCAAAAAAAAAATAATTTAGGCGCATAATGTGCAAAAAAATCAGAATTTGTGCTCGTAGAGGGCAACAATTGATAAATTTGTGCACGCAGAGAGCAAAAATCATAAATTTGTGCACATAGCACAAAGAAATCAGGAATTCTTATGCACGGACGGTGAAAAATCATAAATTTATGCAAATGGAACAAAATATCGTAAACGTTTTCACGCAAAATGCAACAAATTCCACTTCGTGCACACGGACAAAAAAAAGAAATAATAAATTTGTGCGGACACACGGCAAAAAATTGTCAATTCTTGCACGCAGAGGGCAAAAACCCATCAGTTTGTGCACACGGAGGGCAAAAAATCATAAATTTGTGCACAAAGAAGGCAAAAAATCATAAATTTATGCACAAATAAGGCAAAAAATTGGAAATTTCTTTTTCTTTTTTTCAGGAATTCGTACAGATAGAGTAAAAAAAATCATAAATTCACACACAGCAATGGGGAAAAAAAATCATAAATACAGGCATAGTGAAAAAATTAATGAATTCATCGACAGAGGGGAAAAAAATTATAAATCTCTGCACACAGACATGAAAAAATCATAAATTCCTGTGGAGAGGCTTAAAAAAATCCTAAATTTGTGCCCATAAAGTGCCAAAAAATCCCAAATTCCTGAAGACGCAGGCAAAAAAAATCAGAAATTTATGCCCACAGAGGGCAAAAAGTCACAAATCCACGCGTGGCGTATGGGGAAAAAAAAATAATCTTAAAGTTATGGATGCGGAGGGCAATAAATTAAAAATTCGTGTATACGGACAGCAAAACCCCCGTATATTTGTATACGCAGAGGGCAAAAAATTGTAAATGCACACACGCAGAGCGCAAAAACCCATAATTTAATGCACGAAGCGGCAAAAAAACGCGAGGACTTTGTGCACATTTAGTCCAAACCCCCCTAAAAGCAGACGGACGCACGTGAGAAATGAAGACCTGGGAGCCGCGATGTCTCAGCTGCAATTTTATTGCTCTTGTAGAGGTTGATGCATCCTGCTGGGTGACCTCGTCCTACGCCTGTGACGGGGACGACGACGGGGACAATGGGGACGGTCCCTCTGCCCCGGACTTGATTTATCTACAAGAAGAAACCAAGAAACTCAACGAGGAGTTGAATTTCAAACGGTTTTCTGAGCAATTCTCAATTTTTATTTATTTTTTTCCAGGTTTCCACCCCAAAAACTCAACTTACAACCAGCAGTTGTTGCTATCGACGACCTTGGGCGCCTCGGTGGGGACCCCTGTCACCTTAAAGTTATCCACCTGGAAGACCCAACGCCCCGGGACGTTGACGTTGGAGGTCATGGTGATGTTGATGATGGCTTCGGTCTGGGAACCGGGGATGTTGTAGAAGTTGGTTTCATCTCCGCTGTTGAAACCGGCCTGGAGAAGGAACCAAAATGGAGGATTTGGAGGGTTTAACCCCACCCAAGGGATTAATGACGTGGGACAACCTCCTGCTGGTGGTGGTGGTGGTGTCCTCCCAAAACGTTATGGGCCAACCTTCTACCTTTGGTGGACCTGATGTCATCCCCAAAAAACATTACAGGCCAACCTCCTACCTTTGGCGAACCTGGCATTGTCCTCCCCAAAATATTATGGGTCAATTTCTGATTTTTGTCATCGTTGTCCCCAGAAGATGCTGTGGGACAACCTTCTACCGTGAGCAGATGTTGTGTTTTCCTCCAAAAAAAATGTTGTGGGTCAACCTCCAACCTTCGTCACTGTTGTCCCCAGAAGATGGTGTGGGACAACCTCCTACCGTGAGTGATCCTGGTGTTTTCCCCCCAAAACCATGGTGGGCCACCATCCTACCATTGGCATTCTTGTCCCCCCAAAATGGTAGAGGCCAACTTCCAGTCTCGGATGAACTGAAGTCCTACCTTCGGCGTTGTTTTCCCCCAAAACGTTGTAGGCCAAAGTCCTACCTTCAGCAAACCTGATGTTGTCCCCCCAAAAAAAAACCCCATTCCTGGTCAACCTCCTCCCGAATTCCTCAACTCCCATCATCCCGTTTCCCTCTGCTTTTCCTTCAGCCCCACGTACATGGGCTGGGGTGCCTCCGAGACCTGTTTCGGCGTCGCCGCCGCTTGCCTCCCCCGTAGTCCATTGGATATCCCAATAGTTGAGGATGATGAAGGACGTCTTGGTGTCGGTGGTCAGGGTAGCTTGGAAGGTGTTGCCCTACGAAAAGGAAAAGGGACGATGACATCATCAGTGACGGGATGAGCGGGTACGGATGGAATTTAGCCCCGAGCGCCGCACGCAGGTCTAGATTCCTTGTCCAGAGCTGTGCGGTGAAGTTACCTTGGTGAGGTTATGGCCCACCGACGCTGGGTTTTTGATGTCTACCTCCAAACGAGAACTTTTGGTGTTCTACCACAGCCTCTTTCTCAGAACCAGGTGGGCAGAGGAAGTGTGTGGTGGAAAAGTTGGCTTTCCGCACAGGAAAAAAACCCAAAAACCCACCGTAAATTAATTGGGAAGTAAAGTTTTGGGTGTGACCCCTGCGTGTCGGCACCTAGGGACAGTTGAGGAGCTCCCATGGGGTTTTGTGTGCCCACCCACGGCTGGTACGGAGGACAGAGGAACCGGAGGAGATGCGCTCACCTCAGGATGTCGCGAAGGCAAATGTCTGGGTGGCAAAGACCAACGGACGGGTCACGAAAGCCAACGAATGGGTCGCGAAGGCCAAGGAAGAGGTCACGAAGGCCCCTCAAATAGATTGTAAGGCCACCAAATGGGTCGTGAGACCCAACAAAAAAAGGTCGCGAAGGCCAGCGAGTGGGTCGCGAAGGCCAGCGAGTGGGTCGCGAAGGCCAACGAATGGAATGGAAGGCCAACAAAAGGGTTGCAGGTCCAAGACGTGGGTCGTAAGGCCGACACGTGGGTCACAAGGCCGACATGTGGGTCGTGAGGCCGACGCGTGGGTCACAAGGCCGACACGTGGGTTGTGAGAACGAATGATCGGGTTGCGAAGGCCGACAAATTGAAGCCCTGCAGCAGAGCCGGGGTTTTGACTCGTGTCAATCATCGGTCATCAAATTGATGACGGCTTTGAGGCCGTGGTTTGCTTTGCTCTCCGAAACACGTTTGCCTGCGGCCCACATCCTTGTCTCTGCACCGCGTAGGGGGGGGAGAAATTCATTTTGACGTGTGTGACCGTATCTGGTCTTCAAGTCACGACTGTGGACCTTACCTTATTGGTGACAGAGCCATAGTAGGCCACGTGGTCCCAGGTGGCCACAAAAGCCCACGTGGCGGCGTACGGGATGTCGGGGAAGTATTGGTTGATGTTCTCGGTGATGCGCGCCAGCAGCGTCGGGTCGGTGGTCTCGCGGTAGAAGACATCCCCTCCCAGCACGTTGTTGACGTCCGCCCAGTACGGAGCCACGAAGGGGCGTCCGTCCGCCAGGGGGAAGGGGTCGGGGGTGTATTGGCTGACCCGGCTGTCGAAGGAAATCACGCCGTTGTTGTTCACCTGCAAAAAACAAAAGAACCAAAAAACCACGTCAACCCCGCTGTGATGGCAACCGACGTTGGAACCCTGTCACCGAGATCAACACCTTGACGTGGTTGTGGTCCCCTGGAGGTGGCCACGGGATCCAGATGTGGTCTTACCGCTGCTTTCTGCATCTCCATGACCATATTTAGGTCATTCTTACATCTCCAGCTCTACCAAAAAGAGGTGGGGGGGTGGGATAGACCACCCTAAACGTGGCCACGGACCTCCCGACCGCAGCTCCAGAAGGATTTAGATCTCCTCCCAAGACCCACCAACCCTACGCGGATGCTTTAATGCACCAGAAAAAGAAAACCAAACCCAAACTCATTAAAGCAACGAGGTCGATCGCGTGGACGGGGGAAATTTTTGTTGAGGGGGCCACAAGTGACAAAATGGAGTGGAAAAGGGAGCGACAACCGGAAAAAAAGGGGGAGAAATGGGAAAATGGAGAGCGCCGTGCAAGGAAGACGTGGAATTTTGGGTCACGTACGTAAAGGATTTGGTACTCTTTGCCGTAGAAGGTGAAGGGCACGGCGAGGGAGATCTTCTTCGACGTCCCATCGTCAAGTTTGGGGTTCTTGTGGTCACGTTGCTCCGGACCGTAGGGGTAGAGCAGGGATGCTGCAGGAAAGGAGAGGCTGAGATATCGGGGCGGGGAGGGGGGGGATACCCCCCCAAAACCCCTCTCGACCTCATGCATTTTGGGGTGAAACCTGTTGGGTTTGCAATTCCTGCTTTAAAATGAAATCTCTTTGCTCCAGGTTACCGGGAAAAAAATGAGGTTGACTTCTCTTGGATGTCCAACGGATGGGGTGAAACCGCGGCTGAAAGGAATTGTCCCGTGGGTATCGCACGGGGTACGCGCAGATTTGAGGGCAAACGGAGCAAAAATAAAACGTCCCCTTTCCGTACATCCGCAACGTAGCCGGGAGGAAGCTCTGCTCCCTTCCCGCTTCCCAAACTCAAGCGGAAACAGCCCCGTTTTGGGTGGAAAGACCGTCTTTTTCACGCAAGACCCCGCAATCCCGATACTCACCTTTTTCTTGCGCCAGCTGGACGTTCATCACGGCTCCTGGAAAAGAGACGAGGGGGAAATATTACGGAAAATCATCTTCTGAAGAAAACTTTTTTCTTTTTTTTTTAACCTACCTAATATCAGGAGCAGAAAAACGAAGGAGGGCTTCATCCCAGCTCCTGCAAAATGGTAAAAATTCTGTAAAAATTAAAAAAAAAACCAACAAAGCAACCCAACGATGCTCTGGAAATGAAAAATTTCTCGTGAAAATAAGCCCGTCCTCTTTTACACGGCGTTTTTGCCCCGCGGTGTGGTCGGGGTGAATTATTTTGACCTTTTTTTTTTTTTTTTTTTAAAGAATTGCGTGACTAAGGAAGTTTTTTATTTTTATCGCTGCCCGAGAGTTGAGAAAAATCAGAGTTCCCGCGTGGATTTTAACCCTTAACTCAGGTTTGGTTTTTTTTTTACCGGGGACTGAATGAACCCAGGGGTTTTGTCCTACGGGAATCACCCCGCGGAGCGAAGCTAGGCAGAAATTGGAGGAGTTTTGGTGAAAAAAAAAAATAAAAATACAAAACCCGACCTAGGTGTTATCCTGGCTGCGAAAAAAAAGGGAAACTGAGGCAGGATGGAGGATTCAGGGTGATTTGCTGAGCACCCGCGTGGGCGTTTTGCAGAACAAACTCCAAATCCGGAGCGGGATAATCCTCTTTTGCTTTTTTTCTGCTCGATTCATGCGATTTTAAGGCATTTGAAGAGAGGGCGACGGCTCAAAATTGACGCAATTCGAGCAATTTAAAGAGAAAGGATTTAAGGGAGCGATGGATGCTCGCGCGGGAAATAAAATCTCTTACCTCGATACCTCGCTGCGTCCCGATTTCCCCAGGGAAAGGCGAAAAGAGGTGAAAAGAGGCACCGACACGAGCTCAGCCACCAAGAAATGGATTTTTTTTGTGGCATCCTGCTCCTTCTTTTAACGCGTCGCCTTCCCGGCCAAAAAACCCCAACAAACCGTAAACGCAGTGAAATCCGCCAATTTTCTGCCCATCAAAACTGGAGCTGTAATCCCTCGGCATCTCTGGAAAGACAAATTTTAGGAGACGGGAGATATTTGGCTCTTCCCGATGTTTTCTAAATCCCAGATAAGGTTTTTTGGCAAGGAGACGCGGCGGATGCAGGGTGAGTTTGCGCTTCGCGGGAATTCCCATCAGGGATTTTGTTTTTCAAATTAATCCCAGAAAAAAAAAAATAAGTTAACATTTCCCCCCCTCACCCCCTTACCTCACCCCCGGAGGCGGCAAACAGGGGGTCACCGGGTGACAAGGGCGTCGTTTCCAGCAGCGTGATGAAAATTTGGGGGGCGGTCTCAGCGATGCGGGTGCTGGGGTGACGCTGGGGACGTCGTGCGTGCGGCGGGATTTATTTCTCCGAAGGCGTTTGCAATAGCAAAGGAAGAGAAAATGATAACAGCGGGGATGGCTGTGGGTCCTGGACCCACGGCAACGTCCCCTGTGGGTCCTGCACCCATCACAACATCCCCTGCGGGGCCTGGACCCACCGC